CGTCGTCGTCGTCGTCGTCGAACGTCGTCGTCGACGTCGTCGTCGTCGTTGTCGTCGTCTTACGTCGTCGTCGTCGTCGTTGTCGAACGTCGTCGTCGACGTCGTCGTCGTCGTTGTCGTCGTCTTACGTCGTCGTCGTCGTCGTCGTTGTCGAACGTCGTCGTCGATCGTCATCGTCGTCGTCGGCGGCGGCATTGTCGTCGTTGTCGTCGTCGTCGTCGTTGTCGTACGTCGTCGTTGAACGTCGTCGTCGTCGTTGTCGTCGTCGTCGTCGTATCGTACGAACGTCGTCGTCCACGTTTTCCTCTACTCTTCTTCTTCTTCCTCCTCCTCCCCCTCCCTCCCTCCCTCCCTCCCCTGCCTCCCCTACCCTGCCTTCCCTCTCTCTGTCCCTCCCTCCTCTCCTTGCTCCGAGATGGAACCACCTCCTTGCAATCTGGACCACTACCCGGCGAACTGAGCCATGTCCCAGCGGGCCCGCTCTCACGCGGCGCTCCCGGTGCCGTTCGCGCCCGTGCGGTGCGCATGTACGTCTTTGCTGTACAAGCACATACGATACGCACTCAAACTTTGAAGACACACAAGTACGACATGCACTGACACCTTATAGGCACAAGCACCAGAAGCACCTGGAACCGCAGAGGCACGAACACACGGCACGCACTCTCCCCTGGGACACGCATCTACGGCACGCGCACCAATCATGTCGACACAACCACTGCACGCACTTGAACCATAGATGCAAAAGGATACGGCACGCTCTCAAACATTACACGCATTAGAACCTTCGAGACTCCAGAATACGACACGCACTCAAACTCTAGAGACACAAGGCGTTCGACATAAAATCAAACCTTAGAGAGAAAAGGATGAGAGACGCACTTAACCCTTGGAGACACAACCTCTACCCGAATCTAAGCCATAGAGACACAGCAAATACGGCACGCACTCAAACCTTAGAGGCACAAGACGTACGACACGCACTGACACGCACTTCAGCCTTGTCCTCGCCCTCCTCGTAACATCCGATCCTTTCGAAGAAGCTGAGGGGTGCACCGCAGGGTCCTCCATCACTGCCGCCGCCGCGTCGGCCTGGCAGAACGTCGCTGGGTGATACATGAAGTCTTCCTCCTCCCTTCCCTCCACCCCTGGGGAGGCGGGAGGAGGGGATACTGAAGATGAAGATAAAGATCAAGCTGAAGCTGAAGCTTATGATGATGGTGATGATGCTGCTGATGACGATGATGGTGGTGATGATGATGCTGATGATGCTGATGATGACGATGAGGATGATGATGAGAAGCGTGAGGAGGATAATAATGAGACGGGAAGAGGGGGAGACGGGACGAGGAGGATGAGGAGGAGGAGCAGGAGGGAAGATGGGGAAGAGGAGCCCGAGGAGGAGGAGGGAAGAGGAGGAGCAGGAATAATAGTGTAAACCCAAGATGAGTCAACGATGTTGCAATGCACACTCCCTCCAAGTTCCCTCTTCACAGGTCACTGACAGCATTTACCTCTATTGCAGGAAGTGGCCCATTAGAAAACAGCAGTCTGAGAGTCCTCACCCGTGCCAATACACCGTTCCTGGGACTTCAGCGCCGGGGATCAACGTAACTGTTGCGCCCTGACAAATCAAAATCGTGCCAGAACGCCATTCTTGGAACTTCACCACCGCGAATCAACGTTTCCGTGGCGTCCTCACAATCCTAACATGTGCCAGAACACCATTCCCGGAACGTCCACCGTACCGTTATAACTTTGGGAAACTCACGAAAACAAAACGAATGTGCGCGGCGATACGGCGAGAGCCACGTTTTGAACAGGAGCCGCTGTCTGTCCGTGCAACTGTTGCAGACTTTTAAAACGAAAGTGCGCGGCGCTGGGACGAAAGCCACATTTTGAACAGGAGCCGTCCTTCATCCTTGGACTGCTGCACATTTCAAAAACATTTTTCCTCACGGCGCTGAAGCGAACACCACACTTTGAAAACCACCCTATCCATTCGTGAAGCTGTATGACATTTTGAAACGAATGTGCGCGGTGGAACCGCATGTTGAAAACGATCCGCTTCAATCCGTGAAGCTATTGCAAACGTCCAAAGCACATGTGCGCGGCGCTAATGCGAGAACCACCCTTCGCCCGTGCAAATGTGGCAGATTCTGAATTTCAAAATGATCGATGGCGAGGAAAACTCCAGCGACATGCCCGGCCAGCCCTACCGACGTCTCGGGGTGTGTCAAAGAGAAAGCACTAATTCATGAGGAAGAAGGATTGAGGAGGAGGAGGAGGAGGAGGAGGAGGAGGAGGAGGGAAAAAGGAGGAAGAGGAGGAGGAGGAGGAGGAGCACGACAAGGAGGAGGAGGAAGAGGTAAGAGAAGGAGGAAGACGAGGAGTCCTCTCTCCTCGCCGCTGCCTGTCTTGCTTACTAGTTCGTAGGAGGTTCCTCGCCTCCCCTGTGGGAGGGGCGGGGAGGAGGAAGATGGAGGACGAGGAGGAAGAGGAGGAGGAGGAGGAGGAGGAGGAGGAGGAGGAGGAGGAGGAGGAGGAGGAGGAGGAGGCATGGAGAGGATGCTGCTGCCGCTGCTGCTGATGACGACCAATGATGAGGGTGAGGCTATGTGAAGATGATGTTTTGATGATGGCGACGATGATGGGGAAAAGGGTGCTGCTTGTGCTGGCAACTCGGGGCAGGGACCGCTCCCCGCAAAGAACGTGGGGCTCTCGCCCAAGACGCTCGGCCCATGCCCGGCAGTCCACAAGGGGAGGGCCATGCGGGCGCAAGCTGGCCCGCAAGCCTCCCCCCCGCTCCGCCCCGAGAGCGACCGACAACCGCGCAGCACGCGCCGAGCAGCGACGGCACCGCGCAGCACACGCCACGCGGGGGCCGCCAAGACGCCGCCCCTGCCCACACTGGAAGCCCAGCAGGTGCCAGCCCGCAGCTCCACCACGCCGCAGTGCCGCCCCCCCACCCAGCAAGACGCCGAGCGACCACGGCACCACGCAGCATGCGCCGCACGTGGGTCTCCGAGACCCCGCCCTGATCCAAGGTCCCAGCCAAGCCTACGCATCCAGGTGGGTGCGCTTTCCCGCCGTTCCTGGAAGTGCTGCCACCCATACAGGCAGTCTGGGCGCGCCCCATCTGGTAGACGCCGAGCGAAGACGACGCCGCACACCGTGCGCCGCACGCGGGGTCCTCAACACCCCGCCCTTCCACCAATAATTACCCTAGCCCGAAACCCGACATGCCAGATCGCGAACCTGACAGCGAGGACCCACCAGGGGCGGCGGAAGAAGCCAAGGGGTTGGGGGTTTGGAAGGGGCCACCGCGGGCCCAGGGGCGCAAGCTGCGTCCACCCCAGAACTGAATCCAGGGTCGCGTCACAGCTCCCCGAGAGGGACGGAGGGGAAGAAGGGGAGGGGTCGTGCTGGACCACGCTCCAGCCCGAGAGCACGTGCATCGTCCACCCTGGCGATGGCGGGGCCGTGCCACAACTCCCCGAAAAGAGAGCGGGGAAGGGAAAACGACGATGATCAATTCGCGTCGTTGGAACCCACCGACCCCAACTCAATAGGGGCAATGCGAAGGGGAGCGAGGACGCTTTCACACCCCCAGGCGTCACTCTGCCCCCCGACGGCCCATGGCCTGACCCTTCGCATTTCTAATCGTGGAAGCGGGGCAGGCGGGCGACAAGCAGGATAACGCAGCAGTAGACGAAAGGGTGGCCGCAAGCAAGCCAGAGCGGGGGGGGGGGGAAACGGGGGAGAGGAGGGAAGTGGAGGGCGGCGCAAACGCACCAGGGGGCGCTAGCAGTGTCCACAAGGGTCATTCGGCCCAAGTCGTGCCACACCCTCCGAAAGAGAGATTAGGGAGATGGGGGGGGGTGAGCCCCCTTCTTCTGAGGCTCTCCAGGCGGGTGCGCTTCCCTGCAGATTCTGGAGATGTCTGCTCGACCAAACCTCCTGAGACAACCAACCACCTTGTGCGCAGACTGCCTGGGAGGCGGGGTCTGCTGCCGACAGGACATGCGGAGGACGAGGATGATGTGGATAAGTATGGGGAACTCTCAGGCGGCCACACGCGGCCACCCTCAGATGGCCAGGCACTTCTCCTTCGGCGCGTACTTGTCGTAGTCGGCATGGTTTTCGGGGCTCAAGCAATCCATGTCGTCCTCAACGGCAGGATACTGATATTATCGCTACGGCGAATTCACGTCGTGATGACATCGGCGCTGGCATCTAACATCGCGTGGACCAGTCACCCCTCATCGCGGCTTTCCGACAGTGCAGATCGTTCGACATCAACCGATTCTGGGCCACTGACAGCGTTCAACCTCGACCGCCCGCGCTGGGGTCTCCGCCGCGTCAACGCGGCGCGAACCTGCCATACTCCTGGACCGCTCCTGGGGCGCTTTCTGGACATGATCAAGAGGCGAATCCGACCGTGGCGACGAGGGCCGCCCAAAAGGCCCCAAAGGGGCGGAAACGGGGAACACGTAGCAATATCAGTCAAATTTTCCTCCCGTGAATCCTTCCTAACCTCGGGGTTGTTGCACTTCTCGGGCTCGGACCACGGCTTTGTCGGGCCGCTCCAGTGCAGGATGTTTCCCACCCGAGCCGTGCGAGCCTTCACAGTGCTCCCCAGGGCAAAAGTGTTCCACGACTTATCGAAGAACTGCACCTTGTCCATGAACACTAAGTTGAAAGTCGGCTGGTCGTTGGTCACGCACGCCGCCGCCGTCTTCTCGAGCTCGTGGGTGTAATTGCCCTGGCGCCACTTGTTCAGATCCAGCACCATGATGCCAGTGTTAAAGGCGGTGAAGTGGTGATCCTGGTCGAGGTGCTTCGCGCACGACCATCCGTGGAACTCACGGCCGACAACCTTCCTCCGGAAAGCTGCCAACTGCAGCTCGCCGCAGACCCTGGCCAGGCCCACCCCAGAGCCCGTGGACCAGCGTGTGTCCGGCCAGGAAGCCCACGGAGGGCCTGCCTGGCTGGATCCC